GAAGAAATCTATCTGTCCAGGATTCTTTACATTCCTAACTAGATAAAAATTTTTACAGATAATGATGAGGCCTATTCAATGTTTAAACACATGTTGTTCTCCTTCTACATTTCCAGATTATTCCTGGTAATTTTAAGTGGTGTTTTCAGTCCCATGCCAACAAACCAACCAAACAAAATTCAATTTCTGAGAAAAAAATAATGAAGAACGCTAAAGAGGATGCGATGTTTTTGCTTCTAAATATCCCCTAGAAAATGTATGAACTACTTATAAGAGGAAGCAAATTAATCATTTTTCTTTGATAAAAGCACTAGTGAGAAATTGCCTGAGAAAAGGCAGGGCAGCTTGAGGTAAAAGAGTTAAAATAGGGACAAAGAACCTCTTTGGTGAGATAATGTGAACAATTCCATAAACGCGAGCCCTTAAAATGGCAGAAATGGGAAAAAATAATCAACTGGCTTACATCTTCCTCAGGACATGCTCAAAATACACCAAATTCTTCCCTGAACAGAAGAGGAACAAAATCTGTTAACCCAAAGCATTGGAAACTTCTAACTTTCTACGTTGCTGGCATTTTGGGTCTTGAGATGGGCATTAGTCAAACAAGCCAATCATCCATTTAACTACAGGCATTTAGATTTTGTTGTTTTTCTCAAGTCCATTAAGGACAGAAAGCGATCCACGAAAAACTTTAAAAGGACTGATTAACGCATATCTAGTTTCTGTAGTTAAACTATTTGAACGCTCTTTACTCAGCCTCCCCGGGCAAGTTTTATGGTGATTCACCTAAAAAAATCCCTCTCGCTGGCAGAAACACATGTTAAGTACATTTATACACTCAGGAGAAAAGAGACCAAAATATTATGTTACCGAGTTCATGATATGCATATCTTATAGAATTGACTGTAATCAATATCTGTGACCGAGTGGGCCTCAGATCAAACCGCGCCTGGGAGCAAACCGCTGCGGAGCACTCCCCTGAGCGCCCCACTCATTGACCACTGCACGGCACCCCTCAGACCCTAAGCTGCCCGCAGCCTGCACCCGGCCTCGCTCCAGCTGCCGCATGCGCATTGGGGTTTCCATCCTGCTGCTCAGTGTCAGCGCGTTTGCTCATGTGCTGACAGCGGCATCGTGTTACATATGCTGCACCGAGGGGCTGCAGAGATGCTCTTTGAAGATGAAGTTACCCCGCGACCCAGGCACGAATCGCGCGCCCACACTTTGAGAAAAGACGAGGGCACCGACAGGGGAGTAGTTGTGCTCAAGTGGGACATGCTCTGTCTGGCTCTCATGCCACCGAGCAGTTTCAAAGCAGGTCCCCTGGCCTCTTATGCGAACCACAGGGCCACCAGCCGGCCCTCCTGCGGATTTTCAAGGCTACCACGGGACAGGGGTTCAGGCTTGTCCTGAAAGACCCCAGGAGGTAGAACTAAACCACAGATAAAATCTGAGAGCAGGGCCGTCTTCACCCAAAGCCAAGGTGCCTGTTCTGCTTGTCAGAACTCTAAGGGGCATGGGTTTGCGTTGTCATTAGAGTTTCTTATTGGTGAACATCTAACACGGTGGCCACTAGGAGTCAAGGACTCCAGGCACAGCAGGATGAGACGACTTTGGATGTAGGCACGTACTGGAGTATCTGGTGCACGCCCTGGTGTTCCTTTACTTACAGATAGGGAGTAGCTTGGTATCTCCTCCTTCTGATCCTAAGGGGGAAGGTATCACTGCTTCCCCCCTTCCATAGTCCTCGGCTCCTGGACACGTGCCCAGCTAAGAGAAAGAGTGGTTGGGCCGTGGCTGCAGCTGCCGTGTGGCTAATGGCAAAGCAGCCCAGGAATGCCCCTCTCGCTGGGTCTGCTCTGTGCCAACAGGCTCGCCCGATCTGCACAAAAACCCAGTCAAGGCGCCTGGTTGGCACCGTGCAAGCAACACATCTTGGTGCCTCACGAGGGCTGTGGCTGAAGTGAGCAGCTGTTTCCAGATGACGTGGGCGCAGCATGAAACGCTCCCTTCCCCCAGGGGCTGTGCGGTTGCCAGCGAATGCAGGGATGGCGACCCCCGGGGCACCGCAGAGCAGCTGAGGTCTCAGACGTGCACTGCTTTGGGAGAAGTCCCATGGGGAAAACAGGGCCTGATGCCAAAGAGATGAAAGAAATACTGCACATTTAGGTCCTTCTAGAAGATTCACAATGCACATTATTCTATTAAATGTCCTGAGAAGTCTCATTGCCAAGAAACCAGTAAACACAGACGTGATCAGCACGTTTTTCGTTTTTCTCCCTTGCATGGGGCTCATTAACATCACATACAAAATACACTGGAAAATGAGTTAGTGCCAAACCCTCATTTTCACATATGAAGAAACTGACGTGATATGAGAGAAAGCAACTTGTCCCTCTGAGGAGGACTTGCTTTTCTTGCTCCCGGGGGCTATTGTGATTGTATTCTTGACCTTGACGCTGCATTTCAGCATGCCCAGGTGAGCAGTCCACCCTCAGACTGATCAGCTCTGGCTACAGGGTAGAGTCTGGGGACATGCATGCTGCTTAGCCAACCTACTAATGAAAGGAAGGGGTTGTGTTGTAAAAAAAAAAAAAGAAAGAAAGAAAGAAAAAGAAAAAAGAAACAGAAATGTATTAGACTGTGGAGAGATGGTCTAGCAAATTTGAAATTCGCCCAAGCTAGAAAGTTTTTGACAGTGTATTTCATGACAGTTGCCCTCACACACAGATTTCATTTTCATACAAAATTCCTAACAAGCCCTCTCCTGACATGATTCACCTGTTCTGCACAGAACCTCAGTGTCCTCAGCCCAACTGAACATGTCAATATCCTCTAAGTCTACTAAACCACATGGGACTAGCAAGAGAGCTTGCCTGCACTGGAGAGCTGGAGGACCAGCTGCAGGACAAAGGAGCATTCCCTACTGGCAATGCCAGCTGCTCTTCCCTGGCCACACTCTGACCGTGGCCTGAGCCAATGCTAACTTCCACAGTGAGCAGAGAGCCAGCAGGTACCCACTGCTCATGCGTGAGCAGTGCATGATGATAACGCACGGAGCAGTGTGCTCTCTGCTAACCTCAGGCACGGCCAGAATGCAGGGGTGCTCCCTGCATTGGGAAGAAGAGGAGGAGGCAGAGCAAGAGATCAGAGGCGGTGGCCATCCCAGAATCCCTCTGTCCCTCAGACGTCTAACATGCTCGAGGTCAGATTCTCGTCCTCGTTTCTTCTCAGGCAGCGGGACTGCCTTCATGTGCATGTGTGTCATGGCCATAGAACATAAGCATTGTTCTCTCTCCCTGAATCCAGGATTTGGCACGAAACCACTCTGAACACAGAAAGTATGCACAGTTGCCTAGTGTTCAGCAGTCCAAAGACATGTACACATTCTCAAGGAAAATTAAAACTTAAAAACAACCTGAGGTAGAAAAGTTCAAATTCTCTGGACGCCACATTTTATGGAGCATGCAACGTCAAATCAGACAGGTTCACGTTTATCAGGATCGCAGTCTTTAAAATGAAGGCTGGCTTTCTAGGTACAGGAGGTTTGCTCAGGTCACTGAGGAAGAGATGACTCAACCAGCCACACCAGCGAGATCTATGAGTATCTGAGCTAGAAATGGTGCCCAACGTGACCACAAAGAACCCTCCCTCCCTCCCTCCTTCCCTCTTTTCATCCCTTTCTTCCTTCCTTTCTCCTTTCTGCTACTTACTGGGAGCCTATGGGACAGGCAGGTGGGTGGCTACCAGTACTACGGCAGTGATACGCAGTGCTTCAGGGGCTTAGACGCTACATGGGAAACATGCCTCAGGATATCGTCTCCTGGGGATGAAACTGGCAGACCAGCCCGTGCAGCGAGGTGTGGTAGCTCCCCACTCTGTGAGTTTGCTTTCTTTGGTTTCGGTTACCTGCAGTCAACTGTGGTCCAAAAATATTAACTGGGAAATTCCAGAAATAAACAACTCATGACGTTTTCCATTGTGTGCCATTCTGCATAGCCTGATGGAATCTCACGCCATCCCGCTACGTCCCACCTGAGCCCTCCCTTTGTCCAGTGCATGCACATGGTTCATGCTACCCATCCTTTGTCACTTCGCAGTTTCAGTTATCACATGGATGGTCATGGCATCACAGTGCTTGTGTTCCAGTCACCCTTACAGTAGCCTCACGTCATGTCTCAGTGTCTCCGTCACTCACCTCCCTTAACCTCATCACACGGGCACTGTGTCATGTTGCATCATCACAGGAAGAGGGAGGGCAACTATAGCACAAAATAAGATGTTCTGAGAGAGACAGGACATTCGCCTAGCTATTATTACAGTATATTGTTACAACTGCTCTATTTTTATTATTAGTTATTACTTTTAATTTCTTACTGTGCCAAACTTACAAATTAAACTCTATCCTAATTCTGCATGTGTATAAAACTACAAAGTGCACAGCACATACAGGGTTCAGACCTCTCTGCAGTTTTTCTGGGTCTTGGGACATGTGCCCTGCAGATAAGGGGAAACCACTGTATAGTTACTTTCCTGGAATGGGAGCACTTATTATTTGAAAAATCCCACGAAAAAATAAAACGGCGCATCATAATGTCTTCATTCTTACACCATGAGAATATTACACAACTCTGTGACATCCTGTTGACTAGAATCTTTGAGTCACAAATGTACCAGAGCATTATCTTATATTAACAAAGCTTCTAGGAATACACGCACTTATAGGCCGAGATATTCTACCCTGAACTGTTCTCCCTTATTTAGCCCAGTAATTGCCCAATATATGAAGACTTTCCAGAAGGTATCCAGTTGTGTAATATGAAAAACAGAGACATTTATTGAAGAAGATACAAGATACAAGAAACACTGTACACAGAACGCCTCAGTCCTCTTCGAAGTAGGCACCTTGGGGCCTCACATGGTTCTCCCAGTTGCCATCAGCTGCCTTGTTGTATTTTTCTGAATCCTATTGATGGTCCGAAATCTCTTCTCTTTCCAAGGTGATTTTAGTTTTGGGAAAAGCCAGAAGTCACAGGGCACCAAATCTGGGCTGCAGGGGCCGAGTCACCTGGGTGAGTTGATATTTTGCCAAAAAACTCTGAATGACACCCAATGCATGAGTGAACATGTTGTCGTGATGAAGATGCCAATCACCAGTTGGCCATAGCTGTGGCCTTCTGAATCATCCAAATAGTTTCTGTGGAGGAATGTTCAAGCTTAGTGCAAAATTTCATGCGGATTTGTTGCTCTACCAGTTCAGTCATTTTGAATGTGATGGCCACACAGTACACCTGCTCACTCAGTGGCATCTACCACCCGCACTGTGAAGTCGTCATTGTTCATGCATGTGCATTCCAGTCCTTGGCTGCCAGGTTACATTGATGTTGTGCAGACTGTTCTCATTATACTAACGATGCTTGGGCATTTTCTAAACAGACCTTATATACTTAAGATAGGCAAGCCAAGTCATATTCCAATGATGTCAACTAAATTGAGGAAGAGTTTAAGATGAGACAGAACCCTTCTTTTCTACCCTGTATTTTCTAAGTATGCATGAAATTTAGAGATTAAGTATTTCTCTCATTCTTAAAGCAGCAGGATTCCAGAGTTCTTCCTCAACTATTAGGGGTACACTATCAAATGTTACCAAAATAAGAAATTCAATATTTTTTAATGTAGGAGAATGTATATCTGCAGCATTTATTTCATGGACATATTCAATAAAATCGTGTACGAAGTACACTTGAAAAAGAGAAATTCTGAGAAGCAGTTCAAAGGGTTTTTGCCTTTGTTCCTCTGGTATATTTCCTGGTAGAAGTTTGTTATCCTAGACCTTGACCCTGCCCATGTTTCTCTTCTTGGCACCCCCATTTCTGGGAAAGCCCAGCCAGCTCTACTTGTGTGGCATGGGAGAGATGAACATTCTTCAGAAGACTAAGTTATGCAACTGAACGGATCAGTGATAACCATGGTTTAAACTAAATTGAAGAGCAGCCAACAATTAATCCGCCCAAACCATTAGTGCTGTCTCGGCCTTACTTGAACATATTTAATATGCCTGTGACTGTTTACCTTTCTGCCCTACAGAATGAAAATGTAAAACTTCTATGCTAATAAGCTGGGAAGACCCAGCACCAACAAAACACTCTCCTAGAAAGATTTCAATGAGCTATTATTTTCTGGCAATGGCTCGTCCTTCCTGACTAGATTTCGAAGAAAATTTGTCATTCGAGGTCTGAAAGGTGCTGTAGGGCTTCTAGAAGACAAGTTTTGTATAAACATTGCATGTTTTGATGGGGTCAAATATTCATAAAATATAGTTCAATTCACTAGAGCAACAGAAGACAAACAGAAAATACATCTTGAAAAGGAGATGAAACAGAAAACATGGGTGCTCACTTTTCCAGCCTATACTCTCCCTCATAAATCAGTATGTCTCTATAATATATCATCTCTCAAAACTCTGAGAGCTGCTAGAATCATTTCATGGAAAAGTGGCCGAATGCCTAAATCATCTCCAATCGGCCCCAGAGCTTCCTGAAACTGCCAATGAATGACACCTGTTTGCAAAACGCTGCTTTTTCTCAACGTGGGCTGCTTTCCAGCTCCACAGCCACTCTTTGGTGCAGCCATTCGGTGACCACGGTCCTCAGCTGTTTTTCCAGAACATTCTGTCACCTCTCCCTTGTGTATTCCTTTCGAATACACGGTCTCTGCTGTTATCTGTTGGATCTTTGGTTGGAATTCCTAGAAAAAGCCTCCTGGGGAGGCGTTTGTTCTGTTTACTCTCTTATTTGTGCCTTGGAAGTCCATACAAATAAGATACTTGGAACCAGAACAGAACAAACCATTTCATCTTTGAGTTGTGTAGACCACCCAACGGAAACCTCACGTGTGATACATAAACAGGCAGTGTTTAACTTCACCTTGTCAAAAGATGGAACGCTTTCAAAACACCTACACTATGTACCTTCATTCTCCAGTGGTGATCATGGAAGGGTGGGGCAGAGTGGAAAAGGGGGTGAGAACAGTGAAATTCTTTCCCCTCCACAAAAAAGTGACGATCTTTTAAGTAGCAACTGAATTTACAGTAAAACCGTGTAAATCCAGCAGGCCTTAACAATTATCTTCACTTTTCAGAAAAGAGAGAGAGAACTGATAACCACCCATAACGAGTAGCTGCCTGGGACTCTCTCCAAACACCTCCCTATTTCCCGCTTTGTGAACTGCCTTCGCGGAACTGGGGAAACGCTGATGGGAGGACTGGTTTCCTGGGCTTTTCCCTTTGCTCCGCACAGCGCTGGGGAATTCACAGGACATTAGGCACCTGTGTTCTTTGGCCATTTTCCTTGTGTCCCTGGGGGAGAAATCGAATGCTTGCCTGGATGCAATGAGTATGCAGAAGGCAGGGGAAAAGCAGCTGTTCCTGTGGAAATACACAACATTTAGAAAGAGTCCAAAGAAAACCAATGGTGAATTTCTGGTGCGCCCCCTGAGTGTGTGTACATGGACACTCCCGGACCAGCGAAGACACGGACAGCAATCAACTGCTCCTCTCAGACAGCAACACTCCCGGCTTTTTTCCCCTAAAAAAGGGTGTTGTGTCTTTCATTTTGGACACACGGGGCAAACATTCTGAAATCGCTTTCTGTTTTTATCGTTAAATGTGGGGATATACCTAAAAACACTGCAAGGCTATTCTTCATGTGTGGCCTGAAATATTTACCACTTTTTCCTATAGAACTAAGGAAATTCTATGTTTAGCCTTTTGCGGTGAAGGTAACAGATGACTCTGAGACGTGATAATTACTAGAAGGTTTATTCCATTAATGAACTAATTAGCCTGGTTTTTAAGTTTCACAAGCTTAGAAACTTTTCCTTAAGATATTTGGTCTTTGTACATTGAAAAAAAATGTACATGGTCAAAAAAGTAAATGGTCAAATGACATTCTAGATTTTACCGCAAGTGAAAATGTACTGAGAACATTCAAGAAAAAACAGGAAACATGGGATGAATGGAGGAAACTTAAAAAGGAAACTCAAGAGATTATAAATATTACACAATAGACATGTAGTAGATATTCCATTAACACAAACTGTCCCACTGAGATCTAACAACAATCTCATGTCCACTCAGGATTGAATATTGGTCCTTTCCGACCTGGCTCTCACATTCAGCTTCTTCCCTCTGTCCTCACCAACACGTGCCTATGAAACTAAAGAAGTGCTTCTGGCCAAAAAGAGAGGCTCCTCTTATCCTGAAGTCCAAAGAGACCAAGACTGCCTTAAACACTTCCATTCGGGATATTGATGCTTTAAAGCTTTTTAACTATACTTTCAAACCATTATGCATGGAGGTCAAGGTGAGGAGTTGGATTTCATTCCTGGAACAATGTAAGGGAGTCATGTGGTTTCAGTTGTGTTTTTAAGAGATGGATTTTGGTTGCTGTGAACTGAAGAAAAGAAAAAGGCAGGAATAGAGGCAGCAGGAGTGGTTTAGAGGCTATTAAGGAGTCCCAGTGGGAAATAAGGAGAACTTCATGTAAGATCACAGAGGGCAGGCAGAAAAATGGAGCAAAATGGACGGATGTGTTTTGAAAAGAAAGGGGAGTGAGACTCCCCAACACGCTAGCTTTGGGGTCTAAAGGAGAAAGGAAACAGAGTTCCATTTTTAGTGTATTAAGAATCAGATAATTGTAAGATAGTTTTACAAGTCAGTTTAGACTTCTGTAGCAAACAACGCTCAAATTTCACGATTTAGCCAAATAAAAGTTTATTTCTCACTCAGGCAAGAGACCACCCTGGGTCTTCCTGAGCACATAACTCCCCCGGAAATCTCTTCCCTGCATGATGGTGTAAAGCCTCACCCTAGGTCCTTAGGGGGGTTCCTACTCAGCTTGCTAATGAATGAAGACAGCACAAACAAGCAGACCGCTCTGTGCGAGAGACTCTTATAGACTCATTCAGGCAACAGCATCACGTCCACCACATCACACAGGCCAAGTTCAATCACAGTGTCTACTCTAACTGCAAGAGAGTCTGGGAAATGTAGTCCAGCTCTATGCCCAAGAGGAAAAAAGGTGATAGAGCAGTCCTACAACAATATTCAGTGAGGATATCAGTCCCTTGGATCTGAAGTCTGAAGCCTTCTCTCAAATAAATTTGGAAAAAAAGAGAATAAACAAATATCCATAGAGTCCTACTTCCAGCGATCTAACCCAGACATTTCAGAGGATACAAAGGTGTATACTCCTTTCTTCCTACCCACAAGGGCCATGTAATGTGATTGGAAAAAAAGAAGATACAAAAATCTGAAAAAGTTGTGGGGCAAAAAAACCCAATGGAAGATGTCACAGAGCAGTGACTAATTACAAAATAAATGGTGTACACAGGAGGAGGGGTTCATCACAGGCAGAGTGATGTAGGGAGGTCTGCTAAACAAGGAAGAGTTTTAGGTGGTCCTGAAGCATGTACAAGGTGTCTAGGGAAAAAAGGATTGAAGACAATTTTTTTTAGGCAGAAGGAAGCACATCAAGAAAAACACTTTTTTTCATCATTTAAAATGACTCTATTTCTGTCAAATTAACGCTCTTTTAGAAAAGACAGAGTTATATAAGTCAAGCAACTATTTTGTAACCAGCCAAAAAATGACCTTATTCAAAATGATGTTTATGTGGCTTCATGTACTTTTTCTCCTTCCAGATAGGCGTAGCCAACAGGTACAGCCTCAGCAGCTAACCTAAGATGGGGTTATACACACTTAGACTTGGAGTTGATGACTCATTGTCCTTGGTCTCAGTTCCCTGCTTCACACACCTAGAAGGCCAAGATGCCAGAGCTTCCGGGCAGTGAATGATCAGCTGACAAAGGAGAATTTCTACCTATTCTCTGTATACACAGATACGATACTGTGAGGGTCAGGAGAAAGCCTGGCAGCAGAAACAGAGTCCAGGAACTGGGAGCCAGGGGCTGTCTGTCTTCTCAGGGACTGAAAGAGCTGATTTCCACTGCTCTGTCTGCACTTGGGTCCTCATTCCCAGACCAAGCAGTCAAGCTCAGCAGAGTGAACCAAGCCCACAGAGAAGCATCTTGATTCCCCTCTTGGAGACTGCCTTCGGATGCGTGTGAAACAGTTTGATGATGGCCATAATGATGATGATAATGATAATAATTTGCCCTTAGTAGCTTTCATGCTATATTCTCAAAGATGCTATAAGCATTAATTAGTTAAACCCTCCAGCAGTTAGTAAGGTAGCTGTTACCTGTACTGTACAAATAATTAAACAAAGCAAAGAAAGGTTAAGTGGGCAGCCTGGAGTTATGCAGGAAATCAAAGCTAGGGAAACAGAGACTGAATTCTGGCCACAAAATTGGTTCAGTGATGGCATTTCCTTGAGAAAGGAAGCATATGATTTGCAGAACGCATACTAGGTTGTGGGGGGGGGAGCCCAAATCTGAGGTCCCAGGGTGTCCAGGGGCTGTATCAGAATCTATCAGAGAGTCAGGAACCCAATCCCAGTGTGTCTTTGGTGCTCTGATGCCCCTGAGCATCGTACAATTTGCCCTTCTGCCCTGCTGGCTTCTGCACAAACACTTGGCTCCTTTACCAGAATAAGCAAAGGACAGGCAGAACTGGGGGTATTTACTTTGATTTCTGAACATCTAACCCAGTATATTACGGATATAATATAATCTAAATATTTTGAAAAAAATGCATGTGTAAAATACTGTTTTTTGCAAACTTAGCCTGAGGCACAAAAAGCAAGGTGAAATAAAATATCTCCGGAAGGCAATGGAACAGAAAGGAAAGACACCCTGATGCAGAAATCCTGGGGCCTGAGCACGGACCGGGAACACTGAGCCTGAACTGGCTCTGACAGTCAGTTCTGCCTTGTCTGCAGCGTCCTCATCGGCCAGGTGAGAATGCCAGCCTCAGAGAGCTGTTACAGGGATCAGATGGCATAGGACATGCTGGTCACCTGCCTCCAGACCACGCCCGTGTCCAGTAAATTTTTATCTTCTTTCCTCCTTTTGAAAGCAAAAGTAGCACTTGACCTTCACAACAGTGCAGGGTCAGAGGCAATCTTCCTGCTTCTAGGTAGGAAAAGCTATTCTCATATGGAAAACCCTTTATCAGCAGGGCGAAAGGAAGGAAACATTAAAATGCTGCACTCCTTAATGCTATTTGAAAAAGACGAAAGCGGGACTGGAATTCCATGGAAATGGCACTAGAGAAACTGCAGATAAATATGAAAGTTGGCAGTTAGCTAATTTACCTGATACAAACAGTCCCGAATTGATTCAAGGACCTCACATCTCTGACATAGTGACTATGGATCATAACTTCATTAAATGTATAATTATGAACTCAATTTCACCCCATTCTGCAGAGTCAGCATTTTAGGATTTGAAGACGTGATGGAAGGAAATTAGCTGAAGGAAGGGTTGAGGCAGGAAGGAGGAAGAGAAAAGGAAGGAGTGAGGTCAAGTGCAGTGGTGGGCAAGAGGGGAAAAGGGGGAGGTGGTAACACCCCACACACACACTCTACCCCTCAACCATGTCTTTAACGTATAGATACCTTTGGAGAAGGTTAAGCTTACAGAAGACATGAGAAAGGAGTCTTAATCGCATCTCCTTTTGACTTACTGCATATGAATAATCCTATAAACATTAGTGTTTTTTTGCTATTTTCAGTGTCTTGAAAATAAGCTTATTCAAAATTGAGAAGACAGTGGATCTTTCTTCCAGCTCCTGGAAAATTGCACTTGAGAGAACAGTCTTTACTTTGATCAATTTACTTGAAATTTGTGTGGGGCTTTATGCTCTTAGCTTCTTCTCCGTAGGTTGCCATGGGCCTCACCTCGCGAGGGGTTCATGAGAGGATAAGGGGGAATAAACACGAAGAGCATGAAGGGAGATACTGAGAAAATTCCCTGGAAAGCTTTGCGTAAGAATCTAGAAGACAGATTTATATGCCGTCTGATAGTGCTAGCTCTTTCAAAGAACAAAAACAAAATATAATTGGGATTACACCTTCCATTACAACAAGGTAAAGGAATTATCTTTATTAGTTGTTGATTGAAGCTGAAATCTAGCTTTGGGTTGAATGCACGTACAACGTGAGATCACTTTTAACTATTGAGCCAAGCTCCATGTATTGTATGCTTGGCTCTGTTAAACACTTTGGAAAGAATCAATAGCAACTTCGTCTTAAGTGGTACACACACAATTTAATCATCTGTCATCGCCATCGACACCCATTCACACGGAAATAAAGGAAATAAACGTTAAAATGCTCTCACTCTATATTTGGTACCTCTTCAATGTATCAAATATTTTTAGTGCATTAACTGTCTTATTCTTTTCTTGCTCAAAGTGGCAATATCTGATTAGCAAGTTGACAGATAAAACATGGATTTAAGAGTCAAATATAGATGAGAAAAAGAAAATTTAAACACTAAACAGAAAACCAAACAGATGTGGGGTTTTTTTTTTCCCTTGAAGCCAAATTGGTCCACATACCCCTGCCTTTCGTGAGTTCTTTAGCATGATCCAAATTCTGGTTTTAAAACTTACAATTGGTTCTGGCTGGTGTAGCTCAGTGGATTGAGCACGGGCCTGTGAACCAGACAATGCCGATTCGATTCCCAGTCAGGGCACATGCCTGGGTTGCAGGCCGGTTCCCAGCAGGGGATGCACGAAAGGCAACCAGACATCGATGTTTCTCTCCCTCTCTCCTTCCCTTCCCCTCTAAAGATAAATAAATAAATAAATAAATCTTAAAATAAAACTTACATTTGAAACTTAACTGAGGCTTTCGACTAGCTCCATTATGCCTGGGCAGTATGAGGGTAGATCTGAAGTTAGCATCAGTCAGTTCAAACTGCCTGCATTATGATTCTCTTTTTACCCCTCTCTGGCCTTCCCATGATCATTGTTACTCAGTATCAGATGCAAAAAATCAACCCTTTACAAATGTACTTTGTTGTCACAATTAGATACAATAAGAGCATAATGAAGAATTTTATGAGCAATAAAAATTAGTTCAGAAAACGTCTGACCCTTACTTTTCAATGATTATGAAAGCAAGTGAGTTTAAGAAATATAGAGAGAAAATAGGGTGGGCTCCATAATTGCATTTCAGCTTTCTTTTATTAAGCCAAGAAAAGTAATTTTCAAGTAACCTACATAATTCCTTCTGTAATATTTTTAATGCTCTCCCCACTGACCAGCATATACACATACGTATAACAATTCTTACTTAAAGACAGTGCATGCCTCTGCAAATGATAGAATTGGACATAATTCAGAGATATATTTAGGTCACTAATACCATTCAGCACTAAGTATCAACATACTTGAAATTAAGTCGGTTAGAAATGAAGACATTAACTTGTCTGGATACCAAATTAATTACTATCCTTCATAGATGCAATGGTAAGGCATTTAGTTTTCGAGAACTTTTGCTTTGATGACCTTTGAGCAATTCTGATGGAAATATCCTAAAGACTATTCATGGTCCCAAATAATTTCTGTACCCTTCAGGTCATCTGCACCTGTGACTACCTGAATGGAGAAGCCACTGCTGTGCACTGTGTGGGTGCAAACATCCTGAACTGCCTCCTAGTATTTTGCTGGTGACCTTGTCTTGCTGTGTCTGTGATATGAAATGTTTCTGCTTCTGTTTGCAGATGTCATTTATAAAATCATTCAGAATGCTAACTGTGGCAAGTATGTGAGCCATAGTAGAGTATCAAAAACAGTTACTTTTCTCAAATCCAGGCCAAATGCTGTTCACTGAAATAGCCTGCCTAGGAAAAGTTAAACAAATGCTACAGATATTTGTGGCACTCGTGCCTAAACGTAAGGATAGGTTAAATGAATTGTCCAGCTTTCTTTCTACACGTTCCCAAAAATGACCTCCGGTGGTATTTTTTCCCCTTCCAACTGTTAAGATTTCTTAGTGGCATTTCTTTCCCTGGACTGCTGAGTAGTTGATGATATAAAAGTTAATATGGGTCCGCTTTGAAACACTCTGTCACGTTCTTACACTCGCTTTGAATTTACGTAACGTAATTACATGTGGTTAAATGTCAAACATGAAAAACCAGTTGAAGAGAAAAGTGTCGTGGGTAGAAAATGGCTGAAGAAAAGTGAGGAAGCTGTTCTAACATCCTTAATAAAACTGATGTGTTGAATTCAATTAACTCAGTATCGATGGGTTGATGTGAACAACTTAAGATGTGTAGACATGGCTGAAAGTATGACCTCTATAGCTGACTTCTAAGTTACCGAAGGAGTGGCATGCAAATGCTCCCAAGGTGAGCATCCCTTTGTTTAGTTTGTTTTGGTCATCAGCATTTGAGGATCATTTAAGGAGAGGATCACTTCACATGATTTTGACTCTGTACCTTGCAAGACAGAAAACTTAACTCTCTTAGGCCAACACACACTTTTGTCTTCCTGGACCAGGGTTTTTCAACAGCACTGACATTTTGGACCAGGGTCTTTGTTGGGGGGGGCGGGGGGCGCCGTCCTGTGAGTAGCACCCATGACCTGTACCCACTGGGTGCCGGTAGCAGCCCAAACTGTGCCCATCAAAAATGTCTCCAGACATTACCAAGTGTCCCTATTGAAGCAAAATCTCCCCAGTTCAGAACACCTACCCTAGATGTATCATATATTATAGTTTCCACCACAGCTATAAATAGCCTCCTCTTACCTATCCCAGGTATCGGCATGAATGAGACTTTTTTGGGTTCCAAATTACTTTACATCCCCCCTCCCCAAAATGCAGGACACTCTGTGTATCCAAGAAAAGTGAAGTAAAGACATCACACGTACAATCAAAATACAAAGATCTGATAGTACATTTGTTAGGTAAAGCCTTTGAGAGTGCTCTTACAATGCTTTCTTCCCTGAAGATGTCCAAAGCTCCAGGTCACTCCGGCCATTCTGCAGCTCAGCTGTTGCACACTCTCTTTCCTAGCTAGGGCACGAAGTTGATCACAGAAAACAATGGGGGGGGCATCTATGCTCTTCTCAGTTCTGCCTGTTCTCTGACCCCAACTCTCTGTCTTTATCGGGTTCATGTGATCGCAGCCCCCCCCCCCCCCATCAAAAGCTAGTTGCTACAAGTCACGTAAAAAATAGTTACTACATCCTATATATCACATTCTCTGACTGGACATAGGCACGTTCTTCTAAGAACAAATCTGGTGATTTATATATAAAAACTGGGAGAAAAGCAAACTGGAATTTCCTTTGTCCTTCTGACCCTACCCTGTTGATTTCTAGGATTGAGTTCAATGTGATGCACTTTCATCTTTCCTTGGAAATTATGAATAAAAAAAAGAAATTCTGCTTTCAAAGTTCCCTAACAATATTTGCCACGTAGTTCAATGCCCTCCGGGCCTCGAACAGAAGGAAACAGTCATTACTGTTTGTGACAATCAGGGCGGGGAAAATGTGTGAGTGCTGCTGAGGGACACAAGGTTTCTGGAAAAACACTAGCAAGCGTTTAAATGATTATGATCACACACACACGCGCGCGCAAAATTAAGTATTCTTAGAAATGCGCCATGCTGCTCTTTTAGCCGTGGTAGGGTAAATAAGAACCAGATTTTTCATTTTTTACATTTTTAGTTTTATTGGGGACATTTTATAAGTCACAGGACAGTGAGCTTTACCACATGCGTCGCATTGGACACCTGCCACCGCTCAGCTCTGTAAAAGGGCCGTCTCTCCTTTGAACCCAGAGAGCAGCTCGCAGGCCCAGCTGTGGGAACAGGTGGGGCTCCTTGTTTTGGGAAGAACAGGGAAGGTCCCTTCAGAAAGGCTCTTTCTGCAGGGGAGAGGGGTTCACACACACTTATAAGGGACTCTGCAGTGCCCCTAGACCAGAAGTACCGGCTTAGAACTTCAGGGCCTGGAAAGATCCATATGAGCCTAACACGTCCACAAGTGGCCCCATGGCATCACTTGGTGAGACTTGGGTGAGACTGTTATCTTCCTGTTCTTAAGGAAAATGAGCTCCTGGTAGGCTGCTGGGTCCTGGGATCCTAAATACTAGGGAGGGGTGGGGGTGATCTAGAAAAGGCAGGGCTAAGGACACTTACAGGGGCGCCAGGGAAAATCTGGTTCCACAAATCAAGGGCTGCCTGGTGAGTTTTGACAGCGATTTTTAACCTTCGGTGTACGGGCTAACGGGTAGATATAACTCTCAGACAGCCCCATGGGAGAAAGCACTTCCAGAAACCCAGAACTGACAGCCTTCTCATCTACCTAACAGCAGCCCTCTTAAAACTGCACCTCTGTCTACCCACTCGGGCGCTCTGACTCATCCACTCTCAATAATGGAATCTCATGTTCCTTGGGGGGGGGTGCAGAAGACAATGGACAAGGGGTGCAGAGAAAGGAGTGTGTTCACACACAGAGGCGCAGTGTATCTACTGTCTCCAAGAATATTTCCTCTCTGACTCATTCAGGATGCCTTAAGACAAAGAGATAGAGCTCATTAAACATAATTACCCCAATGACTTTAATTGCAAATCATTAAGGAGAGGCAGCCTTGTATTTTCTCAGAAAAATGGAACATTGAAGAAATCCTGTTTCTGATCTTCTGGCTTTAGAGATGCGGGTTAGTAGGGCAATTTGGACAGAGCTTTGGAGGCTCTGAGATACATAAAATTAAATTACATTCCCAACAAAAAAAATTACATTGCCAACAAAATATGATGTCTTTGGCTCATCCTTGTCCTCTCTTTGGAGCCAGAAGGCCTCTGCCAAGTGTCCCAATCCCTGTTATTTTCTCATGTGGCGTCAGTCACGAGTGCTCCCCCCCCACCAATCTAAACTCCACTCCGCAATGAGTCAAATTCGGGCCCTGGGATGCCAACCCTGTCCACCATCTTCGGTGTCACACAGCTTTGGGGTCCTGAAGCTCCCATGCTGTGACAGTGCCTCAGTGCAACCATCCCAATGCCGTTGACTCTGAGGCCTGGTTCGGTGGGGATCGAGTACCACTCCTGTCGCTGGACCTCAGAAAATTCAAAATGGGGCTGTGATGCCCCCCCCAGGTGGAAAATCTCCCTTTCCCTTTCATTCCTGCAAAAGAGGGCTGCCCGGCATTTCCAATCACTCGGGCAGATTTTGGCAAAAGTTCTTTTCATCTTGTTCAACCTTCGTTTCTTGCCTGGGACTTCATGGGGCTCTGCTGAGTAACTGAAAAAATGGCAGTCACCGCACCCACTGGGTGTCACAGCAGACTCAGTCTCCAGACAGATCAGAGAGACAGAATCTGGGTTAGAGCCCAGACCCCAACTCTATGTACATTAGTTGTCCACTGAGTTGTACAGTTGTACAACTAAACATTAGTTGTACAGTTTAATCCATTCTCTTTGCAAAATAGAACCAAGCAAAAAAAACAAGGGTGGGAAGAACTGTAATCTACATATGCAAAATGTAGGTAACCGACAATAAGTGGACAAGCCAAGGTTCACAGTCATCTAACATTCCAATTTTGTTTAGCTTTGTTTGGCTGTCCTGAGTCTCAGAGGACATGTTCCCTGTTAATTCACACGTATTGGTAATGTGATGTTTTATTTCCAGCCGTTAACTCATATTTACTAGTAACATAATTTCTTGTTTCCAGTTGAATAACATGTTATTAATTAACTAGATCAGTTAGAAATTTCTAGTTGACTAAATTGACCTGCATTTCTTTTCCCTTTCAAATTGACTTATGTGAGTCATCAAAGACCAAGAACTTCCCAAAGTGCATGGTCATGTGGAGGATTGTCTTCAGTATGTGTCTGGGTGTATAAATTTCAGGATCTACAGCAAATGTTGGACTGCCTGGCATTTCATCACATAGAGAATGACCACTTCTACTCATATATAGAGTACAGGTTAATGGAGCTTAAAATGAAGACACTTCTAATTCAGTAACTTCAGATCTTTTAGTAACTTCTGAATCATCAGTGAGCAAATCAAGTTTAACTGAGTTTCAGTGTATTTTTTATTGCACTTTGCTTCCTTAGAAATCAACAATTCATGTGACTGGGCAGTAAACGATGTCTTGGAATAACACGGTCACCAATCATGAAATACAACAGAGGCTTTTCTGTGACCTTCTTATGCTATCTCAGCTGCGCGTTCCAACTATGGATATGTTATGAATGACAAAACCTATTTGCCTGGCTCCTGTTCATGGTTTAGGGATCTTCTTAAGGAACTTAGGCTATAGGTAACAGCCACCAAGGACCCTGGATGAACAGAAAACGGACACACTGCCTGTCACAATGGTTAACATACCATTGAAGGTTGACTTGTTTGTGGGTGTCAGTGATGGCTGTCCTGATCATTTTGCTTCCGGGGAAGAGTGAGAGAGAAGGGCCTCTGCTATCACCTCCCACCCACTGCCAACCCTCACAACCAATCGAAAGCCTTTCTAGCTTTATAAAAATCTGAGGGAAGACTGAGACTTCCTCTTTTTAAAATATATTTTATTGATTATGTTATTACAGTTGTCCCTATTTTCCTTCCTTTGTTCCCTCCATATGATACCCCCATTCCCTCAGCAATACTCCCTTAGGTCATGTCCATGGATCATCCACAGAAGCTCTTTGGCTTCTCCATTTCCTATACTATTCTTAACGGCCCCCTGTCTATTTTGTACCTACCAATTATGCTTCTTATTCTCTGTACCTTACTCCATTTTCCCTTTTCCCCCTATCAGCTGATAAACCTCCAAACTATCTTCATATCTATGACTCTACTTCTGTTCTAGTTGTTTGCTTAGTTTGGTTTTTAGACTCAGTTGATGATAGTTGTTGAGTTTGTAGTCTTTTTAATGTTTACGGTTTTGGTCTTTTTCTTAAATAAGTCCCTTTAACATTTCATGGAATGACACCTTGGTGATGGTGAACTCCTTAGCTTTACTTTGTGTGGGAAGCACTTTGTCTGCCCTTCCATTCTAAATAATATCTTTGCTTGATAAGAAGAATCTAGGTTGTAGGTCCTTGCTTTTCATCACCTTGAATACTTCTTGCCAGTCTCTTCTTGTCTACAAAGTTTCTTTTGAAAGACTTTGAATCATATTTATGATTTTGACAAATCAGCTGACAGTCTTATGGGAACTCCTTTGCAGGTAACTGTCTGCTTTCCTCTTGATGCTTTTAAGATTCTCTTTATCTTTAACTTTGGGCATTTTCATTATGCTGTGTCTCGGGTGGCCTCTTTGTGTCCAACTTGTTTGAGACTCTTTGTATTTCTTGGGCTTGTGTGTCTATTTCCTTCAACAAATGAGGGAAGTTTTCGTTTGTTATTTTTTTTCAAGTAAGTTTTCTATTTCTTCCTGTTTCTCTTCTCCTTCTGGCATCCCCCACACAAGAGCCACAAAGCAGTGAAGTGGGTTGCCATGCCCTGGAGATTACCTGAGGCTCCACCCCACCTGATTTACAAGTGCCTTTTCTACAATAGGCCATGCCACTAAAACA